AATGTAGCCGGTATTTATTTGGTGCCTGGGAGAGGGTTAGTGTTTGTGCAATGTTCTGAGTGCCCCTGAAAAGCGAAATACTGCTTTGTGTGCAAAATGGACAAAATTAATACTCCAAATATATGCCAAGGCTTAAAGTAGCAACAACGCTACACATTGAAACTGATGATGGTGGAAAACACCGAAACGTTTTTTAATTGATAAATAGACAATAAATGACTGAAGCCCATGAATTGATTTTGATTTGGAATAAAATTTAATTTAAATTGAATAAATCTGCCATGTCAGGATTAAATGTGATTTTGAATGCGATGTCTTTGCGCCTACCATCAGCAGCCATTTTTGCCTCGAAGAGAAATTACAAAATAGGCAACTGAGTTTCGTTTCGGGCTGCAATTTATTTAAGTGGCTGATCACGGACGGACTCTCATCGCTAATCAATTACAGAAAATCCGCCTGGAAAAATATATGGCCAGTGTTTTAGGACACAGCCATTCGATTAGCTTCTATTTACTTATTTATTTATACTAACATGCGATTGTTGATTTCACTTCGGTCTTCAACGTTTCGTTTGGGTTATTGTCTGAAAGTTTTTAAGTTGATTTGTTAATTCTCCTTTTTCTCCCTCGTTTGGACATTTTGCTCAAAAGTGCTGTTGTTTCAAAACATTTGTGTCTTGCATCAATTATTTTTTTGATTTTTTTTGCTATCCGTGCGCATGTTCGTTTTGCGCCGAGAAAATTCATACAGGATGATTCAAAATTGGCGTCATTCCTCTTAAGGGGTAATAGTAAGGTAGGTTTCTCGTACTTGGAAAGTACGAGAAAATATTGAATTTGTTTTCAAATAGATATTAACAGATTAAAATTGAATTTCAACTTTGCTACTAAGCATTATTTTGAAAGTGTTTAATTGGAAGCATATTGGAATACTTAAGCATTCGAAAAGAAAAATTACGATCTTTGCTTCCAATTACGAACATTTTTGATATTCAAAAAGTTCTCTTCTGCAATTTTTTGTTGAAAAGTCAAAGCGGCAATGATGTTTTTGTCATTAACAGATAGTTCCAGGTGGATAGCCCTTGTCAATAATAACAATAATTTGTCAAACTGTAACTTACTTTGAATTTCCTTTCACAAATTTGCGGTGCAGAGGAACAAGTATTGGACATAATTGCAAAAGAGCCTTTCAGGGGCACTCAGGCACCAAATAAATACCGGCTACATTCCTACCACGTATGTAAGATCACATTAAACCAATGGATTAAACAACTGAACACTGGTATAAATTGAGCAGCAGTTAATTAACCGAATAACGAATACGAGAAGCTGCTCGAGAAGAGTGCATAATAAGATGATTACACAGGCACTTGTTTGGAGTTACAGACTCAAATGTATGTTTTTGTAATTT